AAACAGATAATTTTAGAGTTCAGTCACAGAAATTGTGATTTTATTTGGGCTGAAGAGCAGTATTTTCATGTTTCTTGTTCAAAATAAAGTCACAGTAACCCCCAAACAACTGCTGAAAAATTTGAGTCTGCATTTCCAAAATCTTGGCCAGAAAGTCTCAGATCCTTGAAGCTCTGCAGCCTCTAGTGACTGCAGGTCAGCCCATTCTGGGTTGGCTGTGAATCTATGGACTCATTTCATGCTCACATCTCTTGGGCGAGTCACAGGCTTCAGGAAGCAATTCAATATTCATGAGTCTAGAGAGAAAATTAGCTGTAGAGAGTATATAGGGAATGTTTGTCAGGAAAATGAGAAAGAGATTAAGTTCTTTATGCTGCATTTTCCTTTAAATGAAGAAAATACAGAAATAGCACTGTAAGCAGGAATCATCATTCAAACTCAGAACCAGTTTGGGGGTTTAAGGTGCTACTACATGATATTGAGCAGACATAGCCAGAAACCTCAAGTGTGGATTTGTTATTTTTACATCAAGAGGCAGGTACTGAACACTGTGGCAACCACTACTTGTAATTTGCTGGGATAGGGCAATGTGCTTCCCCTGTACATGAATCCACCTTACCCTACTTCTTGTTGTTGATCCTCGTTGCCTCAATTAATTTGCTTTCTCCTACTCCTTGCTCAGATTGCCTTGCCCAGTACCTTGAGCGAATGGCAAAACAGCACATACGCTATGGTTGCTGTGTGGTGTTAGCTGTGGCTCGGTTTTATTTAATAACACTGTGTTATTCTGTGCAACAAATTGTGACTAATTGCTTCTCTGCTGCTCTGCCAGCCTGTGAAAAGGCCCGCATCCCTTCCCTGTGTGAGTCTGAATTTTTATTTTAATCCATGAATATAATTTCTCTCTTTCTTGCTTTCTTCCTTAGTGCTAAAAAGTACACAATGTCTTTTTAATATTTAATTAATGATATCACTTTACAGGTTTTAGTTTAAAGGTAACCATAGCACAAATGCATCCATTATTAACTGCAGAACAGCAGTGGCTTCTTGGGAATCCTCTTTAGTTTAATATGAGAACCCCTGTCAACAGAAAACAGTGCTGATATTGTTGTTAAGTGTGACAAACTGGCAAATGCAATGGACACCACGCTGGAACAATGCAAACTGCTTATATCAATGGAAGAGGCAATGTTTAAAAGTGAGGTGAAGGCGGACAGCGAGAGGCTGTCGAGGAAGGTTCGATTCCGTGTTGCGTCCTCACACAGCGGGAGGGTGCTGAAGGAGGTGTACGCTGATGGGGAAGCTGCTGACTCTCTGGACTCCGAATATGCCAGTAGCTCAGAGACTGATCAAACCAGCCGGCTGAGTGAAGTGGACGGGCAGCAGAATGGACACATGGGGTCTGAGTGTGATGAAAATGAGAACGAGGAGGACGACTTGCTCATTTTAGTCAGAGCCACTAAGGAGAAAGGATTTGGTACGAAGCGAGTCAACATCCTCAGCAAAAATGGCACAGTCAGGGGAGTCAAGCATAAAGTCAGTGCTGGTCAAGCTCTCTTTGACAATTTGGCAAAAGTATTTCAGGTAGGTAATGCAGTTCTGCTGGCTGTAAGCCCTCTGTCTGTCCCTTTTAATTCCACACATTATTCTTCACTTTGTTCAAACTGCTCTCACTTATGATTTCTCAATATTCTGCTTCATTCCCATTGTTATCCACTTGCTGTTGTTGCACAAGAGGGGCTCATTGGTCTTTCTAGTATGAAACAGCTCCACACTCCAAACTGACTGTGAACTTTGGTTTTCAAAATTGACCTAAAGTTTACTGAGTAGAAATATGTATTTTCTGCTTCCCACGTATGGACCAGCAAAGAAATGTAACAGAGGATTTAACTGGGGCTTTGCTGGAGATCTGTACAGGTCCATGGCACAGGGCCGTGTCACATTTCCACTCACATTATATTAATTCTAATGAGTGTACGATGTTATCTCCTGTCCCTACATGTAAATATGTATACTTGCAAATCCCATTGTTTAATCTGAAAAGTAGATCAAATTAGGTGCAGGGTGGCAGCAATGACAGTTTTCCCACATGAAAATTTCAGAGGAATGAAATCTTAGTCAGAGGTCTCTTTTATTAATGTCTGGTTTCCACTTATTTTGTAGAAGGAGCAGAATATTTGCAGTTGAAATAGCATATGCCACACTAACGCCTTAGTCAGAGAAACATCAAAGAAAAATCAGGACAAAAGTTCTAAAATATTTAGCTCATATATACAATTTATCTATATATGCTATTCAAACCTTTCAGTCATTAATATTTATATAAAAGAGCAACAAGTGTGCAACCAGACACTTTCTGAAGGTTCTTATAATCCAGAATTATACTGTTCACTTAAATTATCCTATAACTGGCTTCAGGGCATTGTATTAAAAGCTTTTATGTGGTTTTAAATCATGGGAAATTTGATATTAATGACTGTTGTTGTGTTCTTCTTTACACTGAAACTAAGTAATTTCATAATACGTTTATAAATGGCTGTAGATTAACATTCTCTTGCTTCTGGATGTGAATTTATCCTCTATGTTGTACCTAATTTATAACAGCCTTTTTGTCAATACAAACATTCCTGTGGAAGTTGAAGTTTCAAAGATGAATGGCCTGTTCTTTTTCCTTCTTTACATAACATCACATCATGTAGCACTTAAGTAGTTTGCTTTCTTTCAAGCTATTCACTGAAGAGTTTGTCCTTGAAATCCCTACTCCGACAAAATTTGTAACAAACTCACTTTTTCTAAGAAGATATGAATTAGGAAGTTTTAACTGATGCATGTCTGAGTTCTCCAAATTTGATTCCACTGTTCTGTGCTGTTTCACTATGTGTAGTACCCCATCTCACCAGCCTTATTCCCTCCTAAATGCTTTCTTCTGCTACATCAGTGACACCAAGCTAAGAAATTCGAATCAGCTAAATAAATAGACCCATTTGAAGACATCCACACCTTAATTAGTGTCCCCGCCACCTTGCTTTTTCTATCTCCAGTTTTATATTGGAAGTTCTTCAGGAAAGACCCATGGACTGAAATCAATGTACCTTGATTGTAATGTTTCTTGAATTCCTAGCAGAGTTATAGCTAGGACCAGTGCTATTTCCATGAGGTGTTTTGCCAGAAGAAAATATTGCTCAAAAGAAGGCATATCCATTTTACAATGTCAGAAAATTATATGTATACAAGTCTACCACAGATTTCCATAATTAAAACCTGTAAAATAATGATTGGTTTAAAAGGTGCTAAGAATTTTTTTATTGACAATATTTTACTGCAGAAGAAAGGGGAAAAATTAAATTATCAGATGAAAACAAATTAAACAGTTTTTCATACAGTACATAATTAAATTTAAGAACTCTCTGCTACAGGCATTGTAAAGTCCAGAAGGAAAGGCAGATTTTGAAAGCAGATGAGGAAAATATATGGGGAACTGAGCAGCTTCTGCTTAGGCAGGTCTAGATGACTGATTTCCAGACATAACTGTATATTCTTACATTAAGTCCTACTGGATCAAAGACATATATTCAATAATACAGAGAACATCATGATTTTATGTTTCTACACAAACAAGTTCCTATTTCCCCAGAGATAAAGTTTGAAGTCTAGTGAAGAGCAACGATGGATTGCATATTTTTATATCATACTGTGAGCCAATTTTCTATGCTACATAGTGAACGCAGAGGAGAACAAAGCAAAAAGGTTAGTTTTGAGATGGATTTGGAACTGCTTTATTGTAATGTGAAATATGATTGAAATCCATCCAATTACAAATGAAGTAATGGCCTTTAGCGTGAGATTAGAGGATGATTTCTAGTTTTCTGTAAGCATGTTCCAGACTTCCTGCTGGAATACCTCTTAGAGAACAAGTGTTCTTCTTTCAAAAAGACAGTAAGATAGAAAGATATCTCTTAGGAGGTATAACTCAAAATCTCTTGATCTGGGCATTTTTGTAAGTTACTCTCTTGATTATGTGAGGTCATCTGCAGTTACATGTTTCTCTTAGATAAGCAGCAGCAGGTGTATAACAATAGTTAAAATGTATATGGAGTCCCTTATCCCTGAGGAGAGTCCATCTCTGCCCATTTGATGATTCAGCAGTAGAACTCATATGAGATGAACTCATTGTATATTTCCCAGAGTTAATGTCAAAGCCGTTGTTTGTAATCTCAGAATATGCACCTGAACTCTTGACAATCCTTATCCTAAGCACTGATAAATATGCATTCAAATACTTCTTATTTAGTATTCACTGTATCACTTATTAACTAAAATGTGTATGCAAGAAGCAAAATATTGAGTATGTGTGAGTGTCTTGTGACTCTGAAACTAGGTTTTTTTTTGGTGTTTTCTGCATTGACAACATTCTGATTCTTCAGACTATATCTGCAAATTCCTCTACTATGCTACTTCTCCAAATACCTAGATGCTCCCTGTGATAGGGAAGAGATCTTTGAAAACAAATCACTTTGCTCAGATATTCTAGGGATAAGCAGGTATTCATTAACTGTGGTTTGTTATGTTGTGCAAATTGATTTTTTTCTGTTCAAATACCCGTGGTAAAAGTACTCCTGTGTATTTTAACGTTCCATCAAATATTTGGGATTTTGAGTATTTTTTCCCCACATTTTCTTACTACAGCCTTTCTACAGAATTGGTTCACATCCTTTCTTCCCACAACAAACTCAGCTGAAAAAAAAATAATCACACCTTCTGGAGCTTTTTTCAATTTTAAGAGAGTGATGTAATACAGGAAGTATTTCTAGATGAAGAGGTGGTTTTGGTTGTTGTTGCTATATGACACAAGCCTGGTCTGAGAATGTATATCTGGTGCCAAAGAGATGTGCATCCCCTGCTACATCTTCCCACGGTCATGCACTGAACACTTCATCACCAGCACAATCCGTGACTTCTCATTTCCACTGTTCCCTGAGAAGTGGAGCTAAGTCCCTTACATTGGTTTGTCCAAGGGCTGCCTGTGTCTCCAGATGAGAGCTGCTCCAGTGCTGTGACAGTGAAAGGTCTCCCATCAGGCCATCCCCTCATGGCTGGGGAAGCTGCTACCAGACAGGTGGGAGCAGCTGTGGGCAGCTGGGGCTAGTGCAGCCATGGGGATGGAATGTGGGACAGAGCAGGACACATCTGAGGATTGTCTCAGCAGCATGGCAGAACATTCTGGGGGAAGAAAGGTGGGGAAGAGACCAGCTCTACTGATGCTTCAGGACAGCGTGGTTTCCATGGCAACCCCTCCAGCCTTTCCCTCCATGGGGTGGATGCCACAAGGAGACCGTTGACATAGCAACCACATCCTGGGGAGGGGGGGTGATGGGTGTTGACATAGCAACCACCCTGGGTGGGGAAGGTGGGAGGGAGGTCCCCAGTTGTCTGGTGAAGGGTAGGGACAGTCACATGTGTCATGCAGCCTCTGTCGGCACCTAAACTGGGCCTGGGGGGTGGCCTCCCACAGTGCTGGCAACACAGGTGTCAGACAGCCAGGAACACTTTATTTGTGAGAAACAGGCATTACTGAAAAGCTTGAAAAACAGGAAGGAGCTGAAGCTCCCAGATTCCCTGTTCGTGCACCTCCTTGGTGTAAGTGACATTTTCTCCTGCTGAAACAATAAAACTGACAGTGTCAGCAGCTCCGGAGCTGGGGACGAGACTTGCCAATTGTGTCAGAAGCAAAAGCCCCTTCTCTGCATATCCAAAGTAATGGTTTTATTTCAGTACATTACCAGACATTTTGCTTTCTAATATTAGAATACTATTTAAATGCAAATTGGTATGAATATTTCCTATATTTTCCCATAGAAAGTAGTAGAGAAATAGTTATTTTTTCCTTGAAATAAATATAACTCTCTTCACAACCAATTTTTATGACTAGACCATCCTCGTGATGGCTTCCAGGTAACAAGGAACAAAAATCCTTGTGTTGTCTGATATATTACTAGGTAATACAATGATCATTTCATGCCAGACTGGGTTTCCATCCCAGTGTGCAATGTAATGGAGCTCAGCTAAAGGTTTTATATGGGTCTCCCCTCATTTTCACTGCTTCAGCAAGGGTATTTTCCTCTATTTCCATACTTACACACTCCACTGGCCTTCCAACCTGCTCTGAAAGGTCATGTTCTGCTAAATTAGCCACAGAACTCATTCTCAGGCAGGGCCTGCTGACGTCTTTTGTGAGAGGGCAGGCCTGGTTAACAAACCTGATGAACGCCTTTGTAAGCACTGCGTCAGTGATATGGGCCAAGAGTCAGACACAGTGTACTTGGTCTTTACACTGTTTTCCAGTACAGTTTCTCAGGTAGAGCTAACATTTAAGGTTGCAAAGTGCATGTCATTATTCAGCCTAATAAAGAATGAGCTTATTAATGTTTAGGGAGAAAGGTGGGAAAGAATAAGGAATCATGTGGAAGTTTGTTAAGAGAAGAAGAGCTTTTGGGGTGCTTAAGTTCACTTTCATCTTTCTTTACTTGCAGGTGATCTGGTGTTTAAGCCATTAACCAATTTCAGTCTCTCACACCTGGAAAAGTTAATACACAGCAGGACATGCAGAGTTTACAAACCAGTAGGGCTAGCTAATACTACAGACAAAATAAATTGAAATACAGCAGCAAAACCAACTGTCTTCCAAAGAAGGCAGATGCTACAAAGTGTTGTTAAGGAAAGTTTCTTGTGCAATCGTACAAACAAAGGTTTTAGGGTGGGTGGCATGTTGTATAGTACTCCTCTGGATCATATATCATTAAAACTCCCAAAAGTCTGGGGAGATGAGAAAGTGGGATTTGCACTTTCACTAGAGAATTGCAGTCATGATATTGTCCTCCTCACTTCTTTGGCAGATGATCAATGCTGACATTCCAGCATCACTGAACTCTTTGAACCCAAAGACCTCTACTAGGACTGGAAAAGGATTGTAAAAGATCTCTTGAACTTTTCCTTCATATTCTCATCCAAACACACTACCCTGTGATTCTCAAATAGGCATAGCTTGCAAGAGAAAAATATGTGCTGGATTGCTTGTACAGAGCATTTGCTGCAGTAATGCCACTTACTTGGATGGACATAAAATCCCAATGAGCTGTAGGTATCTGAGGTACAAACTTCCAGTGTATCTTCCTAGTGTTAGGAAGTCTGGAAAACCAATTATTGAAATGTATTGCACTGAAATCCACCGGAGAACAGGAAAAATTTTGAATGACACGGAGGATCAAGTGATTATGAAAAGTAGGCTTCTTCTTGTTACAGAAAAATCAGTGTTAGAAGGACAACTGGATCACTACTGGAATGGGCATAGTGTCCTTTCACTAACTCCTCTGTACCTTCAGAAGGACTTTGATCTGTGACCACATTGCATGGGACAGTGATTCAGCTGATACAGTTGATCAATTCACAGTATAACAAGTGTTTTCCAGAGCTGATGTCTAAAGAGACACACTGAATTAAAAAGTAAAATGTTCAGTTCTGTGAGCTTTTAACCAGAGTCTGGATTTGGTCAGTACTTAGGATATTGGTTTTTATTGTTCTCATGTTCCTGTAGAAATCAGCTATAAAGCACTGATATCAGACAAGTCTATTATTAGGTTATTACTGGCATTGTAGGATTTGCTTCTGTTAGACTTGAAGCAAACTCTACTTGACATTGAACTTGAATGATCAGCAAATAGACTTTAAACTGTCTAAACCACTGAAAGTCATATACAAGCTTTGATTTAAAAAAGACTAAGCTGTCTCATTTTTTAAAAATGTAAATATGGGATGTCTTGACTTTTCAATACACTCAAGATTGGGAAGCTTAGCAATAAAACTATGGTTACATTTACCACTTCTTCGAGACTGAATCTATAATTATAGAAAAAAAATTGATAGACTTTTATGCTGGCAGTCTGACTAGCAAGTACTGGACATCTGTCCAAGCTTCCAGCGCACTGCATGGCATCAAAATTATTCTTGCTCTGATGAGTCTTGATCCTTGTAAAGGATCCATAAATGAGGTCAGCATTCTTGAGACACTGGCCTTGTCTCTTCCATGGGAAAGGGCATAGCAAAGAAGCTGTGGTAATACTGTAGTGAATATGTATATACAGAATATGTAGTACTAGACTTGAGATTCAAATCAAGACTTCAGATTAAGATTCAAAATATCCATAGGCCTCTGAAGAAGGACTTACACATGAAGCTTCAACACTGAGATCCTCCAAGCCTCTCTTTGGTGCTGCCTTGCCTCAAAGGCAGCAAAAGCCTTTCATTAATGAAAACTTGACTAATTTTCTGCCTTGGCCATGTGCCTCATCATCTCAGTGTTGACAGGACATGACAGTTACCTCCTACTCGTGTCCTATGGGAACCATAAAATAGGGGTTCCATTGCCTATCTCACCTGCAGGGCTTGATGCAGTAGGTGTTCCCTGAGCATGCCTGGTGGATCAGGTCCTACACAAACTGTACATAAGCAGATTCTGCTTTGTTACAAATTGTGTCTTCCAGGAGGCAGTGGTGGGAGTTGTACTTTGAAACAGACAGTAACAGGACAGCACGAGTAAGTTGCTGAAACAGGAATGGAACACAGGCTTGCTATACCAAATATTACTGTTCTTCAGCATCATGCTTGACGTCCATTTCTTTGTTTCTCTCTTTCTCACTCTTAAGGAGTACAGTGGTCACATTTCTTCCACATAGAGGTATCCTAGAAAAGCTGGTAGCCTGTGACGTGCTTGCTAGGGAATCCTGGTATCCAAGACATGAGAGATTACAAACAATCATGTTCTGCCACCTTGTTTCATCCTCTGCCTTTAAATCTAAAAATACATTTGCTTTCTTTTTGAATGAATGAATGCAAATGCCAAATGGAAAAAGATGCTTCCTGGTTGTAATAAGTGGGACTCCTAAGTCATATTGGCCTCAGGATATTCTCTGAGCTGAAACCAGTCATAAAATGAGACAGTATTAGTAGAAAATGCCATATATGCTTTCCATCCTCTTACTTTTAATTATCTGTCTGGTAGATGACTTGGAATACCAGATGAACACTGGGTCTGAGCCTATGTACTGCTCTGGGATTCTTACATAATGTCCCTTTGTGGGACTGGTCAATAAGATGCTCAGCCTTTGACTTAACATGAAAAATGCTTCATCTTATTTCAAACTAACTTGAAAAAGAGTCATGTTATACAAACAGCCTATCAAAAAAAATCTTAGGATGTTAGTGCAGAAATTTTTTCTACTTATTCTAAGAGTAGGATTTTTTTGAAATTGGCCTCTTACAACAGAGATGAAAAAGATGAACTGATTAGTCTTAATCATTAATTAGTAGCAATAACTCTTATCTTTTGCCATCTGTGAATCTCAACTCAGTAACTCAGTAGGAAAATAAGGAGAAAATGTCTTTTGAAGTATTCTTAAAACTAGGGTTATCAAGAAAATTTGGGGCTATTCCCTTTTCTTTGAAATGGTACAACAGGCTGCCTGCTAGTGCATTGCCACTGAGACTTGTATGCCTTTGACACAGCAAATACAAATTTTGTGGAACATATAAAGATGAACTAAATTGCCTGCAAATATGAACTGTCCTACGTACTTAATTCCTAGCACCATACTTGGTCACTGACTCCTAATTCCATGTACAAATAAATTACTCTGCAACCAAATATTTAAGGGTCCTCATTGCACCTGAGTGTCTTAGGTGAAGTACATTTTACCTAAAACTTTATAAACATGGAAGCAAATACTTGACTATACTGGGCCAATATGTCACCAGACTGCACAGCTGTGCATCTGCAAAAATATGGCAATAATGAGGATGAAACACAGCTCCTTTTTTAAAACTTTAAATATTTCCAAACAAGTTAAGTGCATTAAAATTCCTTTTTTTTTTTTTTTTAGTTTACAGATCTCAAAGCTGTTTCAGTTCTGAAGTAGGATTTGCAAATGCACTAGTAAGCTTACACAAGCTAGAAAATATAAATGTATATGTGCCATACATGTTATGGAGCTAGACTGCTCTGGTCTGTCAGCAGCTTGCTCTGACATTTTTCTACCAGTGTTGACAGTTTATGACATACTGTACCAACACAAGGTACATTATTAATAGCTTGAAAGAAAGAAATGGTCAAAAAGATACTGCTACTTTTTTTTTTTTTTGGCTAGAGCTTTAGCCTGTGACTGCAATGTTTGGCAGCACCATAATTTTGTAGCTGAAGTGGAATGAAACATTCTTTAAAATGGAATTTGTTACCAAAGAGAAA